AACTAATCTACCATTCTACATAGTTTCAGTTATTGACTTGATTTATTTTTTTAAAGACAAAATAATAATAAATCCTTGCACAAAATAGAAAATTAATATAGACAGACTGTTATCATAAAAATGTATCACGTAAGAAAGATTCTAATCATAGCAATATCTTTGATAATATCAGTTCTATTTCGCATTATATAAAAAAAAATGTAATCATGATAACTAAAATAACATATGACAAGTTACACAACGAAGAAGTAAAAGAAAGTATACGACGAAAATTTTGGCAATATTTCATAGTTATAAAACTGGCAAGAATATTCATCTATATTTGATAATCAATTTTTGCAACAAGATGATTAATACTTGACTATGGTTATTATTTTCGTCTAAAAGTCTACAATTATCAATAAACGTAAGTCCTACACTAACTAAATTGACGTTTATTTCAAAGATTTACTGGTAGAAGCGAAGATATTTGCTAACATATCATCGAATAATAAGACGATCCATTAGCATTGGATTTCCAAAAGTTAGGAGGTAGGCTATGAAGTTTGATCTGGCAGGTCACCAGCTCTCTTCTCAATCATGTTTCCAGTCGTATGCATTTACATCAAGTTGTGCTAAAAAGTTCTATCCTAGTACAAGAAAAAGATTCCTATCGGTAGGTGGTGATCAAACTCAAATGAAATTAGAAAGAGTTTACATTCATTGAGATGAGAGAATTATATATGTTGTTTCATTCTGAAAATAAGTGAGAGAAATGTGAAGTTGATTATAATAAAATAATGAAATAGAATATGAATTCATATCAAATTTAATAATATTGCTGGAAACAATAGATATGTTCACAATTTTTTTTTATAAGAAGTTTGAAAATGTGAAATTCCATGGGATGGAACGAAATATTTCATAATTGTCCTATTCAATATGAGATAGTTCGCGATAGTTCATTCTATGCGACGATTTTTTTCGTCCAAACTCATCCAACGCGAAGTCCTGGTTCATATATATATATATGTGTAATTCTATTGACATGACATGCTATTTATTTTCATGGTCAGATAAGAATCTTTCAATAGAAAAAAAAACCTTGCCTCAACTTAAATGATACGTAGATATGCTGTAATTCTTTTTATGTTCTTTTTTTTGGATCAATTGAGCAAGATTCTTTTCATGTCGAACTTCTATCAAGAATCTATTTTTCTTGTGTGTTAAAAAGCAGCTTGTGTGAAAGTCAAGATTATAAATAATGTTGACTGATCTGTAAAGAAAAATAAGAAGCTGGAAAGAGCATTGGTGACAAATGAAAAGACTTGAAGATAGAACTGTTTTTTTGTTTCTCATTGAAAAAACATTGTTTTTATCATGTGAATTAAGAAATAGATTGTGATCTATAGAAATAAAATAATAGATGTTAGTGTCGTGTCACAATTCTAGGCAATGTGTTGTTCAAACAAGGATTCATACAAGGCACTTTCTCAGTATGCTGTCATGCATGTTTAAATGTTAATTATTCGACAAAAATAAAATTCTTTCTATTTTCGATATATTTTATTTACGTAAAACATATTAAGATAAATAATTCGAATAATAATCAATGAAAAATAGATTTTATTTAAAAAATTCTTTATTAAATATTAATTGTCAAATATATAAAATAATTAATATAGATCTATTAGAAGAATTCTATTGAAATATAATCAGTGAATATATTTCAATGAGAAAATATTGATTTTTATTTTTTGAGAATATTTATTTATTTTCATATCTATTTAACTTATTAAATATATTTTTATAAAAGATTATATTTAGTTCAATATCAGAGAATATATTTAGTCAAAACTAAAAATTGAATCGTTTATTATCATCATTTATTTTCTTTTTTTCAAGAATTGTATGGAAAAAAAAATTATTTTCACATTAATTTCGAAATACTTTTTTTTTCGTCATAGTTATTACTCATGAATAATTCGCTACTTTTTCTTGTTCGCTATTTACGTCTAATGTTGATATATGACATATAATGTATGTTATTGTGAGTCAAATAAGTAAAATAAATGAATAAATAAATACGTTCAGTACATTTGTTTTTTTTCCTCTAAAGATAAGTATTAAAATAATATGATTGAAGTGCATCACTTTGAAATTGAGCATCGGCAGCACGTAAAGCATAATCTAGAACTAATGATGATAGGAGAGGTGATGGATTTTGATTGTAATTATATTCTCCCGAAGGATATTGACCTCCGTATTGCATTTGATTGTTTCCGAAAGAATTATTGAAATTATTTCCTGGTAAATTAAAATAATCATTCGAATATTGATAATTGTGCCCTTGATTATATGGATAATTTATTGGTTGACTTGATGATACATTTGGAGGTATTTGTGGTGGTGAATAATAAGGTGGTGGAAAAATCGGTGGTGACATAGCAGTGATTGACGTTGGAGATGCAGATGGACCATAAAAAGTTTTTTTTTTTTTTGAAAGTCTTAAATAAAAAAAACGAAATAACTATTTTTATATTTAATTAAATTTGAAAATTTTTTTTTGAATAACTTTTTCATTTTTTTTGTTTCATTATTTCGTGGAGATAATCTCATATCAATAATTAAACCAATTAATGCAGCAAAAGTAACTATTGTCATTATAAGACCAACAAGGCCATTCCACCATGCCCAATCAAGAAAAGCTAATGGATGATTATTGCGACCTTGAACAGACATCACACCCAATGTTGCTGATAGAAATATAACTAAAAGAAAATTTTTCTTTTTTTTTCATTCATTTATTTATTTAAACTTACTGCAAATAAATAAAAGAACAGCAGCAGCAAGAAACATTATTTCAAATGGTAATCCATCAAGATTAATAATACCAAGTATAATAAGAAAAGCAGCAAATATATAAAATATCAAAGATATTATTTCTAATGCTTGACTACTTCGAATAAAACCTTTAAAAATAAATAAATTAATAAAATATATTAACGAAATAAATCTCTACCTGGTTTTCCTCCAGGAAATGTACTAGAAGTTACATTTGATATGTATATATCATCAAACCATTGATTACAATAGCCTGGTGTTGACATATCACAAACTCTCCAAAGACCAAAACGAATTGGAACATCAGTATATGTTATCCATGAATTTCCTCCAAATGAAACTAAATTAAGAACGAGATAAGATATTGTGGATATAATAATAACCAATAATAAAAATCGTCCAAGACCAGTTCTTGGGAATAAAACCATTTCTATTTATAATGTTATACTTTGTCAATCGATCTGTATCTTTTTTTTGCCTTAATGTGAATGTTACAGGTAAGGACAAAAATATTTTTATATTGACATATTCAACACCACGTTTTTCTCATTGATGCTACAAGGAAAAATATATTCTCTCCACTCACGCAAGTTTATTTTCGTTCTTTTCAATAAGCAAATAATATATTTCTATTAGAAGAATTGAACAAATACGAAAAAATTCAATTCAACAATAGATCAAGTATAATAAAAAGATGTTTGCTCGTATAAATTCGACTGTTGTTGTTTTCTCGATCGCCATAAGTAAATATGAAAGCGTCATTTATTTTATCATATCTTCCACCTTGTGTGTATTTTTTCTAGAAGACTCTTTTATTTGCTTGATTAACAATAAAATGAACAGCTAAAATTGATCAAACAATTACTTTCACATTGATCGGAATGACTAAATCAAGTTTTTCCTTTTTATTCAAATGGAAATTTTAATCCTAATGAATAAACTAGTCATCTTTAATTCTTTTTTCTTAAAATAAAAAAAAACAATTCAAATAAGTAAATTAACCTAAACAACATCTATTAAAACATTTCTAACAATAAATAAGTAAATTTTCCTACTCGCTAATGAAAACTCACTAAAAAGAGTTTTATTTTAAATAAAATATTTAAATAAATAAATAAAATATATCCTTGCCCATTATAAACAACTTTATCAATGGACAGTGCAATATTCCTTATATCTTTTTTTGGCTTTAACATGATTTATCGATCTAGACTTCATTTTAAAATAGTGAACAACTCAGGCCAAAGAATTCCATTATAAAATCTTGTACGATTCTTACAAAATCATATAGAATCTTACTGTATGATCTTTCATAATCATACAAGGTCGTATGATCTTTCATGATCATACAAGGTCGTATGAAAATCGTATAATAAATATGTATTTTAAAAAACATAAGAAAAAGAAAAAAAATTCATTTCAATTGAATTTCATCGTTAAATGATCGAAAATAAAATAATAGATAATCTAAATCAAATAAATACTTAATTTGTATCAAGTGTTCATGTCATCTACAATAAAATAATAGATAATTCAAATTAAAGTTACACTTACTTGAATTGGATTAATTGTTAATAGTTGATTCCCTTGAACTGTCCAACAGTCTATATTTACTTTCGTTATAAATAGGTTGTACTCATACATATGAGTAATTAGCATAACTAATCATACATATATACGTTTAAAAAATAGGTTACCATAAATAATACTATTTTTCATTGTTTGTTTTGATCCGTATGACATTTGTAATTATCACATGGTAAGTCTAATCTTCTCTTATTTCTCTTACGACCTACCTCTATAAAATCATTGATTGTCTTACGTTGATTCATTTCAACAAACATTTATTAACCATATCTACAGTTGATAAGAAAAAAACAAAGTACTAAAAATAAAAAGAATGTATTTATCAATAACTGTATGCAATCTACTTTTTGTCCGTAATAGAATAGATACTATCGACTAAAAACAATGGCGAGAAAATTCTTCGGTATTTTATGAAAAGACGTCAGCTAATCTGTTGGACATCAGAAAGCAAAAAAAATAGAATGAAGTAAGAGTCAAACCCTTATTATTTGTGATCATATTACCATTCGATATTTTTTGCCCTTTCTCTTTGTGTTTACCTATTTGGAGCATAAGAATAACTTATTCGACATATATCATATAAAACAAGAATAAGTTTGATTGGTCCAACGAATTTGATCAGTGTTATGTCTTTTTAACAGATAAACATCACTATACAGAAAGATGTATTTTTAGTTCTAAAAGACCTAGTGTTTAAATTAGAACGTATTTAGTCGCTCGAACAATTATTGAAATGCATAAAACTATCGTTATAAAAACTATTTGCATGAGACAAACCTGAAATTTTGGTCTTATGAGATCATATAAGATCTGACAAGATTCCGATCATTAGACTGTGCAAGAATCTTATAGTAAGAAACATATTAAATCTTACAGTAAGATATTTGTACGATCTTGTAAGATCATACAATGTGAATCTTACGATTTCTGACTGTCTGTAAGATCTTGTAAGACATTATACGATCTTTGCAAGTTTTTTCTATCTGAGAATTGGAAAAATACAAATGATTACATAAATGATGCTACGTGCTTATGAAGAAAAAAAAAGTAGAAAAGATACATATTAGTTTTCTCCTACACATATTAAGTCATTTTATATAAGGTAGAACGTTTATCATTGGTATTTACTATCATTCGTATAGTTATTAATATAATTAACCCCAGTGAAGAAAAAAGAAATGTAACGAAAACAACTTGGTACCTTCCAGTTTCCAAAAATATGTAGTATTTTTCAAGATTTAAAATTTAAAGTAGACAATAAAAAAGAGCCTGGGTGATGATGGTGGCTGGCTAAGAATGGTGACGACGTGGGTATGAGTGTGAAGAGCACACTGATACCAACACCCTTCCCACATCCATATAACGCTTAATATATGCTTGATAGTACTAGGATTAAAGGCATTATTATTGGTATTATTATTGCTCGAACATACTTCTATTTAACAACGGTACTAACCTGGTGATGAAACTGACTGCTATTGAAATTAAATTGCGTCAATTAGAACGTAAACTCATCTTATGATGCCTGAATTATTTTTTGTTATTTGTTTGTCTCTAGATCATCATATCAATATGAATAACGGCAATTACCGTATTAAAATTTTTAAAAAATTATGTTTTTGAATAAATTCTTCATTTATTTTACTCTAATAAATTGCCAAAGAATATTTGTGAAAGAAATAATAAAAAAAAAGGGAAAGAAATTTAATAAAAAATTGATCTTGTACGATGAAAAGGTGTTTGTTTGTATAAGTGAGTTAGTTCTCGTCTTCTTCGCCATAAATAAACATCAACAACTGGTGCATTTAATCTTGGTCCACCTTCTCCTGTATCCTTTTCTAAAGGAATTTTTTCATTTGCTTGATTAACAATAAGATGTACAGCTAAGATTGATCCAGCACGTATTTCACATTCATCTGAATCTCCATATGGAATTTCTTCTTTTTTTTCAAGTCGACGTTTTAATTCATTTGAATAAACAAGAACACCTTCATGAGATAGTACTTGTGGAACACGATAATCAGCAAACATTGTTAAACCATCCTATTATTATCGATAGAGATTTTTTTATGATAATAAAAAAAAACAAAACAAACCATATCAGTAAAATGACCGAAACCATGTCCATTAAAGCATCCCCAAATATCAGCAACTAAAATTTGTGCTCGTTTATAAAAGCTGACTAAAAAATAAAATATCTTTTGAATAAAAAATAAAAATGAAAAAAACGCGTAAACCTCGTTGTCCATCATAAACAGCTTCATCTCTGTAAGAAGGAAATTTTTTCACAATTAATTCGACAAGATCAACAGCACTTCCACCACTTTGTTCAATACAGCGAGTGAAATGTCCACCATATTCCTTTTTATTAAAAATAAAATTTTCTTTTTATTTTGAACAAAAAAAGAAAAAGAACTAACTTTAACAAGTACTGATCCAGTTTCATGTAAAATATTTAATCTTTCGTTTAACATTGGTAATTGAGATGAATTCTCTATTGATCGAAATATATATTTTAATTGATCAATTGTTATATGAGAATAATATTGAGCATTAATTATATCAATCCCTTCCTTTAAATTATGTTAATAAATATAATAAATTAAAAAATAAAATTCTTACATCTAATGCTTGATTTATTGATACACATAATGCTTCATAACCATAATAGATTTTATTTTTATATTTTCGACAATATGATTCATGTTGATTATCATCAGTCCAAAATGAAAAATTTAAACTAGTTATCAAAAATATCCTTGAAAATAAAAGATTTATAGAAAAAAAAATTTTTTTTGTGTCTTATTCAAACCAATCAATTGTTAATTGATCATCTCCTTTTGGTGGTCCCACATCTGATCCAATCCAATCATCTGGTGTACATTCTCCATTCATCATTGCACATGAGATCTTTGGAAAAGAAAATCATTTATTATATTTAATAAAAAAAAATCAAATAACCATATTAGCCAATTTTTGAAGAGCAGATATATTTATTGAAACATGTCGAGCTCGTTCCATTATAAAACGAGCAGAATCAAGAGGACTTAAACAAGATTGTTCGTTTGTTTCACCTGAATTAATCATTGTTTAAATCTTTAAAATAAAAACAAATAAAAATAAAAATAAAAGGATAAAGATAAATAATCTTAGATTAGTTTGTTTTATTGAAATCAATTTCAAATCTATTCTTTTATTTAATCTTGAAAAAAAACAGCGAAATACTTTTATTTTCATATTTATTATTATTTAATAAAAAAAATTAATTATCAATTCAGTTTATCGAAATAATTTATAAAAAAAAAACTATTTAATTATATATATATATTTTTTTTTTTCGTTTATCAATTATTATTTATCCATAAACAAACAAACAAACAAATATAATTCTATTCTATCAAACGAATAAAAACTTACCATATGTACCATATGTTACTTTGCTAGAACTGTAATAAGATGTCCATCATTTCAGTGACATCTATACTATTTGTTCTACAACTAAACAAATTTATTATTTATTGATAATATATTATTAAGAAATAAATAAGATAACGAATTATGATTTATTGAATAGAGATAGTCAATAGAAATTTATTCTCGATATGATAAAAACAAGTTTAGAAAACATTCGACAAATGGCAAGACAACCAATAAGTTCTCATTCTAAAAGATAAGTTTACATAACAGTTGATTCTAAGAGAAACTATATCATTTGATGAAAAAACAAATTTTTAATTAGTTCATATCGAAATAAACGAATAAGTTTGATTTTTTTAGAACAATTACTGACGTGCATAAATGAACGATAATCTCAATTATCTCGTTGAGATAAGCAACACGCACTTGCATGTACATACACACAATATCGCCATTCTATTAAAAACAAAACATATTGCCTCTAAAAATCTGGAAGAGGGCGTTCCGTATCGACTATTAAATTGACATAAGCTGTGATTGTCTGTATCACCGTTCGAAAAACAGATCAATCCAAAAAATATTTTCTACTATTCTTCTTTCTTTAATGTGAGATAATTCGAGTCATATTGCGAAAAACAAGATACTCCTATAAAATGAATAAACATCGACTTCTCTAGAATATACTGCTAATTAAAAGTATAAGATTTATTATAAATCAATACAGAAAAAAGTCAAGATATGTTATTATTTCTGTTTTTTTTATTGTATTAGTAAAAAAATTGAACAAATTTGAGATTGTGTGTCAAAAAGGGTTTTGTTAAAAATGAATTTATTATAAAAAGTGTTAGTTTTTATTCATGTACAGGATGGATAAAAATATTTTTCCACGGGGGTAACGCTATGATTTTAAATAGAGTCAATAACAAATTTTATACCAAATGAAAAGCACGTCAAAAATGAGATTTGTCAGTATTAAATAGTAAGGGTTCTGTCAATCTTTTTATATCAAACGTAACAAATTTCTAGAAATTTTCGCTATTTTAGTATGAAAAAAGTTCTTTCTTGTGACAGTTCAAAAACTAAATTTGATTCAAATTGATGGTTTTCTACGAAGTAATGCTGCGAAAATTTCGAGAAATTTATTATGTTTGATATAAAAAGATTGACAGAACCCTTACTATTTAATACTGATAAATCCCATTTTTGATACCCTTTCATTTGATATAAAATTTGTCATTGACCCTATTTAAAATCACACCATTATCCCGTAGAAAACCATTTTTATGCATTCTGTTTCTAGAGATTTATTATATTTGATATAAAAAGTTTTGTAAAACCCTTACCATTTAATACTAGTAAATCCCATTCTTGACGCGCTTTCATTTGGTATAAAATTTGTTATTGACTCTATTTAAAATTACAGCTTTACTTCCTTGGAAAAATATTTTTACCCACCCTATAGTTGATGTTGAAATATATTTATTTCTATTGATTTATGCTTATTTCAAAGAAAATTCTAACTAAAAGAAAATGAAAAGAATTTTTTCTTTAAATTTAATCTGTTGAAACTGTAAAAAGAATATTATCAAATTGACTAAGTTGAATACATAGTGAAGATAATTGTCGAGAATTTTCTTGATTAAATTTAATAACATCTTCGTTCCTACATCTTTTATTTAAATCAAAAAAAAATCTGTTCAGTTTCATCTATAGAAGATTTTAATAAAAAAAATAATTAATATTGACATTTTAAAATTTTTTCTTTTTACTTTGTTCAATTGATTGAAAAATTTTTTCTAAGGATAAAAAAAAGAGTATATCAATCATAATCAACACTTGAAATACAAGAAACTATAGAAGAGCAGTTGATTTTTTCAAGAAGGGCCTCGAAATATCTGACAAATCTCACTCTATAATTCATCATCAACTCGTTACCAGATACAACAAGTTCGGATTAGTGTTTTAAAATATTGGAGATCATTCAATGTCGATCGAGTACTTCAAGAAAGTAACTCAAACTAGAAGAATCTCTTCGACAAAAAATCAAGCGAATTTCTAATTGCACCGTAATTTCCTATAGCCTGTTCGAAAAAACCTTGTCAAATGTCGGTGTTTTTATCGTTAGAACTTTTTGACTTTTCCTTACTTTATATCGCAGAAAATCGTTTCACTTGCTATTTATCAAGAAAAGTGTAAATATAAATGTGGATGTAGTCATTTGTTTTCCACTACTGAATGAATGCCGTACATCGAATAAGATTATCAAAATCGATTCCCTCTCAATACCATAGATGGTCGTTCACGAATGATTTGAATTCACCGATAGATTGCCAAACATCCGCTTGAATGTGTTGGTGTATAAGCAGTTCTTTATATAAAGTTGATTAATAATATAGATCATAAATTGGTGATTAGAAACCAGCGCTAGAAAGGAGTATGTAACTATTCCTCGAAATCGATCAGTTTGATAAGCAGAGAACGACTTACATTTATAGATGGTATTAGACCAATTGCGATATTGAGATGTAGTCGAAATGGTGCATATATTGATAGAAGCTTGAGTGTCTTCGAAATGGTCCCTTGTCGAACTATTCATTTTCATAAAAACTAATTCAGAAGAATCAGAAATAGCAGAAAAAAGGGTGTGGGTGTGTGGACATGAGATTAATAGCCATACCCTTATCCTAAATGTTGACAGCATGAATAAAGTACAACGGTGATAGTAGCCAATTATTGGTTTGATGCAATCGTTCAAACTAGGGGTGGGAAGTTACCGTTCCCAGACTGTTACTCGGGAACGGTAACGGTAACTTCCCACCCGTAGTTCAAACATCATTCAATAGTCACTAATATCATTGAAATATCATTTAAATGATTGACTCTCTCACTGATTATAGTACAATTATGACTTCTACTCATTACAATCTTTTTGGACACATTATCATTTTATAGTATCGAATAGAAAATAATATCTTGTTTCGTAGATATTAGATCAAGCGTTATGTCAGATTTAATAAATTTTTATCAGTTCCATCCTGCTAGAATTGATAAAGAATTATATTGACATAGATATTTGTTTAGATATCTCTATTTTACATTGAATCTCTGTGTGCAATGTTATTTAGCAGAAGACTTCATATATGTTTAACTTGTCTATCAAGCGATGAAACAAAGATAAATAGAAATACGATATCGACATTAAATCAGAAGATTAGATTTAAAGAGCAATTGTTTACTTTGTCAATAAAATATTTCTTACAAATATCAGAATAATATATGAAATTTTACTGTATTTTACTCTTCTAGGGAATTTTTGTGTTTGTTATTATACCAAACAGTATTTACAATTCTGTATTTTTTTTAAATTTGCGTTGAGATTTTCAGCAACGAGTATTCTAGCTTCATCTATAAACGAATCTTTAGGATTGATCGATATTTTAATTCATTTTTTTATTGATTTATAAAGTTAAAATAGCGAAACAAATTTGATATAAGAAGAATGGTCAACTATCCATGACCAACTAAGTCGTTTTACTAGACCATCCGACACAAGTCGAACATAGTTTTGAGTGAAAATCTCTCGTGGATTTCTAGATAAAAACTATTCTTTTCTTCTATTTCAGATCGAATATGTCTATCTACAATCATCATATATTAACAGAATTCCTTTAGAGTTTTTTTTTTCAATAATGACTTGATCACTCTTGTTCTAAACAATTGTGTATATTGGAACAAGAAAAGCTACCATCGATATCACTTATTCAATAATCTCATTTATTGGTGCAGTTTATATTACTCTCTATGATAGACAAATAAAACAATAATGTACAGAGCATAATCTGACTACTACATCCGGGATTAAAACAGTTAAGAACTTTAAGAAAATCATCGATACTAGACAATTTTTCTGCAGATATCATTTCTATCATATTAAAAAGACATAATCAATGAAATCGCAAATTGTTTTCTAGAACTTTTTTAACTTGATAAATAAAAAATTTGAAGTTTCGGTGGTCAACATTTCTAAAATAAAATAAGCTATGAGAAAAATGCCTTTTAGAAAGACATTGACTTGTAGAAAATATCTCTTACCATTTATATGTAACAAAATTCTATTCAATTGTTTGATTAAGAATTTCTCAATGAGCCATAGTCGACAATTCTTATTGACCGCAAACATGTATTAAAAAAATAAGTGACTATACTAGTTTAGTTCTTGCAGAAGCCAAAACCGAATCGAATAGACCAATAATTCGACTCAATTCGATTCGGATGAGTCGAATTAAGATGTCCAGTTGTGCTCATTCGATGAACTATATACATGCATATTAAAAAACAACAAATAGGATGGGAAAAAATAACAAAAGAAGTTGACAGATATTCAATTCCAGTTTCATATCAATCATTTCTTATTTGAATAAAAAGCAATTCTATAAAAAGTTTATTCAAATCTTTTTCACATTAATGTTAATGCTCTGTACTTTAGCTATGCTGACCAACAATTAACTATAGTAGCGATGGAATACGTCGATAGAAAAGTTAGCCATTTATCGAATAGGTTTTACAAAAGAGATATGTCCATGAGGTGGCAACAATCAATATTATTTGACCGGCGTCGCGATGCACTAACATTGATTGTTGCTACCTCATGGACATATCTGTTAGAAGAT